AAGAGAAAGAAAGAAAGAAAGAAAGAAAGAAAGAAAGAAAGAAAGAAAGAAAGAAAGAAAGAAAGAAAAAGAAAGAAAGAAAGAAAGAAAGAAAGAAAGAAAGAAAGAAAGAAAGAAAGAAAGAAAAGAAAGAAAGAAAAAGAAAGAAAGAAAGAAAGAAAAAGAAAAAGAAAGAAAGAAGGAAAGAAAGAAAGTCCTTATTACTAGAGTAGAGATAGGACTTTAAAGCCTAGAAATCTTTAGAAATAAACCTTGTTACCTTTCTTTTTACTAATCTACCTCCTCAGTCCAAATTCCACTTAGAATTCTTTACTAAATAAAGCTCCCAAACATGTTTTCTATACCCTGTCAATTCCTCACATTTATTGTCTCTTTGTCTAAAAAATATAAAAACTGTCAGGTTGGTCATTTTTTGAGTTCTCAGTGTCATTATTGGGCCTCTACGTACATGTAATAAAATTTGTGGGTTTTTTTTTCGTTTTTTTTTTCTCATCTTAATCTGTCTCATGTAAATTGAATTCTTAGTCTAGTTGGAAGATCAGAAGAGTAGAGGAAGAATTTTTCATTCCTAATATCAGTCTTCTCTGACACCTCCCCAGGGGATGGGGGTAGTGGGGGAGTGTTGGGGCCTCTTACAATCTTGTGAGGCTGGAAGGAGTCTAGGCTCCCCATGAGGCCTTTGCTGGCTTATGGGAGTCCAGCATAGCTTTTTCTGTGGTCTTTGGCTGGATTAGGGCAATTATTGTCTACAAGTTTTCTGTTTCCCTAGGCTGCCAGTTTTCTGGTCCTTTGTGTAGAGAAAGCAGGCTTCTTCTGTTTTTTTGTTTGTTTGTTTTGTCTTTTTCTTTCTTCTTTCTTTTTCTTTTTTTTTCCTCCATGTCTTGCCAGCTCAATCTGCTTCAAGTCTGAGATATTTGAGATAAAAAGAAAACCCAGAGAGCACACAATCTGGTCACCTTCTGTTCTAAAGTCTCCAGCCAGTCTGCTTTTCTGCTTTCTTTATCTTTTCAATCTTCAGAGCCTTCATGTGTGTGTGTGTGTGTGTGTGTGTGTGTGTGTGTGTGTGTGTAGAGTATCCAGGGTTTAGTAGTATTTAGCAAGAATAGGGCAAGATACAAACTGGACAAATACAAATACATTTTCCTGGAAGAAGTTGTCCCCTTGTTCATTTAAAAATTATTTCTAAATTGTGTATACAAGACCTATTCTATTTTAGGTACTGAAAATATAGTCTACTCAATGGTCTATCTTCTCACTCTCTCAGTGGTATCTCTTAATAACACCTCCTATTAATTTTAATATGGTATAATTTAGCAACATTTTGGTTAATAGTGAGTACTTTTTGATTAGTTTAAGAAGCTTGTTCTTTTTAAGAAGTTTTTTCTTTGCCTAAGTCATGAAATATTATCCTGTTATCTTGTAGAAAATGTATTTTTATACTTTTCATATTAATATCTTCAATTCATTTAGAATTTATTTTGGAGGATTGGGTGAAATAGAGATCAATATTTTTTTCCATATTGATATTCAAAAGAGTCAGTACTATTTATTGGAAAGAATGTTTTTTCCTTATTGAAATACAATAGCAACTTTATCATAAATCAAGTGTTGATGTATGTGTGGGTAATTTTTTAGTATTCTCTATACTGGTCTTTTAATTTATTTGTCTGAATTTTTTAAAAAGATTTTATTTATTTGTTTGAGAGTGGGAAAGCACGAGCCAGGGAAGGGGCAAAAGAAGAGGGACAAGCAGAATCTCTGCTGAGCAGGGAGCCAGACACAGTACTCCATCCCAGTACTCCGAGGTCATGACCTAAGCTGAAGTCAGATGCTTAACTGACTGAGCCACCCAGGTGCCCCTATGTGTCTGAATTTTTGCCAATAGAATAATCTGTTCCTTAGAATGGCTTTATAATAATTTTGTTTCTAGAAGTGCAAATCATCCCATCTTAAGTGATTTAAAACAAAGTTTTAATATAGCTTGCCCATTTACAACACTCACCTATATTCATACACACACACACACACACAGAGCAGCTAAAATGTTGATCAGAATGGTATTAATGTATAGACCAATTGTAGATTTGACATTGTTAGAATAGCCTATTTCTGAGCTCATTCTGGCTGTTGGTTGTCGTAGAGGTGAGGTCCGCTTTCTTCCCTGTCTGTTAGTCAGTGGTCTGTTTCAGCTCATAAGACCACCCCCCAACCCCATCCCAGCTTTTTGTCACATGACCTCTTCATCTTCAAACTAACAACAGTGTGTCACTTGTTCTCATACTTCTAGTGTTTGACTTCTATTTCTGCTTTCATTTTCTGCTACCAGCCTGAGAAAGACAACTTCTTTTTAAAGGTAATGTGATGAGATTAGGCTTACTTATATGTCTCCTCTTTCTTCAATAAACTGGGATATATAATGTAACGCAATCATAGAGGTGATACCCCATCATTTTCACAGGTACTGGGAATAAGCGAGAATGGAATCTTCACAAGGGCAAGCATTTCTAGAAAGGTTTCATACACAGATAATAATCTCTTTTCCTAACAAGGGTTTCCTGAAAATCTTTGTGCAAAGTTTGTGTTCATTCTTTTGTAATTATTCTGGTAGTGGCTTTCTTTTTGACAAGTTGCTGCTATTTTATTTAAACGTCAATTTTTTTAGTCAATCTTCAGAATTTTTGCTTCTTCTTTATCAGATTTATTAAGTGACTTTTAAAGGAATTAATTTATATCATGCAAATTTCCACTTTCATTGGAATAGCAGTTTTAAAAATTTGCTCTCTTATTTACAGTCTCTAGGATCTATAGTGATATTCCATTTTATTCTTAATATTCTTAAATTGTGACTTCTCTTTTTCCTTATCATATTTAACATATACTTTTTATTAGACTTTTCAAAAGACTAGCTTTTGAGACTATTGATTTATCTTTTGAATTGGTGCTTCCTATTTTATTTATTTCTATTTGATTATTTTCTTCTACTTTTGAAGATTTATTTTGTTTTCTATTGTCTTCAGATGGATATTTACCATTAATCTTCAGCATTTTTGCAATATACGCATTTAAAGCTAGAAATGTCCTCTGACCTACTTTTACCTTTATCCCATTAATTCTTATATAACTTAGCTCAACTTTTATTCAGTTAAAATATTTGCTGCTATCCACCTTATAAAAATATACTTTATGTTTTAAAATAGTGTTACATTTATAGAAAAATTGAGTAGATAGTACAGAATTCTCATATTATTTCCCCACACACACATGCAGTCCCCTATTATTAACACTATACTATGGTACATCTGGTGCAATTAATTAATATATATATATTTAAAGATTTTATTTATTTATTTGAGAGAGAGAGAATGAGAGAGAGAGAGCACGAGAGGGAAGAGGGTCAGAGGGAGAAGCAGACTCCCCGCCGAGCAGGGAGCCTGATGCGGGACTCGATCCCGGGACTCCAGGATCATGACCTGAGCCGAAGGCAGTCGCTTAACCAACTGAGTCACCCAGGCGCCCCAAAATTAATTAATATTGATACATAATTATTAACTTAATTCCATATTTTCTTTAGATTTCCTTGGTTTTTACCTGATCTTGTTTCTTTTCCAGGATACCTCCAGGATATATGATATTTATCATCATGTCTCCTTAGATTTCTGTTGGGTGGGACAGTTTCTCAGACTTCCTTGTTTTGTTTAACCTTGATGATTTTGAGGAGTACTGGTCAGACATATTTTAGGATGGCCCTTTTGGAATTATTCTCATGTTTTTTTCATAATTAAAGTGGGGTTATTACTTTTGGAGGCAGTTCACAGAGGTAAAGTGACATTTCATGATATATCAGGGGTATGTGTTACCAACATGATTTATGACTACTGATAGTGACCTTGATCACCCTGGCTGAAGTAGTATTTGTTGGGTTTTTCCACTCTAAAGTTATTACCCCTGCCTTTTACAGAATTAACTCTTTGGAATAAAATCACTACATACAACCTACATTTAAAGAATGGATAATTTGTTTTTTAAACAATTGTGTATTGGGAAATATTTTGCTTAATTTCAAAATACTAATTTTTCTTGTTATCTGTCTTTTTCTTAATGCTAACTTAATTTCACACCATGGTCAGGAAACACACTGGGTTATTTCAGTTTCTTGAAATTGTTGAGACTTATCATCCATTCTATAGATAATTTTGGTAAATGTTCTAAATACTCTTGAGAACATTGTTGGGTGCAAAGTCCTACATATATGAATTAGATAAATTTGTTCGTCATGTTGTTCACATCTTTTAAATATTTAGCAATTCTT